AGTGGTGGCTAGCTGTTGCCGGGACATTAGTAGCATTTTCTGTACTTTTTACTTTATTTTATATGGCATATGTTTGCTCGAAATGCTGTTGCTGTAATAGTGAAAAAAAAGATACTATGGATGGTAAATGTGACGCCTGTAAACGTTATATACTAAATTCATTTATTGGAGTCCTTGTTGTTATTAATGTGTAAGTTACTTAAATTATAACTATTGAGAAAAAAAAAGTCGCAAAAAAATTTCTTCTTTTGAATTAAGTAAATTTAATAGTCTTTTTTTGTGCCATTGTTTCTTAATTAGAAAGGTTCAAATGTTTATCAAGGATTAGTGTTGTACTGACCTTATTAGCTTTAATTTAGTCAATTTATTCTAGTTTTTTTTCTTTATTGCAGTTTTGCTGTAATCACAATGTTAATCAGTAGCCAGTATGCCCAATACGGTGCTGAAGAACTACCTCGTAGACTTGGACAGTGCCTAGATGATGTTTCAAATTATAAACGGGAGACCGAAGATGTTAGTACTTAAACTGTAGTTTATTTTTTCAATTAAAAAAATGGTACAATTAATTCGTGCTGTAACTTATAATTGCGTTCAATAAAAGTATTTTCCAAAAGCGAATTTTTTAAGTTCCAATATTTTAGAAGGTTAAGGGAATATTTATCGAAGATTATAACTCACTGAACAAAAGTTTGACAGACACTATGTCTATAGCAGGCGATTTAATCGTCAGAAATGTAAAGAAAGCTACCGGTGTACAAACAGTTGATTATTTGTTTAATATCACAAGAAGTAAGTTCCCAATGATATTTATGATCCAGGCGCGTTTGCTGAATTTTTGCATACTCATTGCTCTGAACTAAAGCCCTTAGACTCGGTAGATGACGATGAGGACTTTTGTCACCAACGATCGGGGTCAGATTTGATTATTATTTTCAGATGCTCAAGAGGCAGTTTTGTTGGTTAATCGAACAGAAGGGTTACTAGCCGATGTTAATATAAAACTGAGTAGATATCGAAATGATATAAACAAATTGGTAAAGACGGCGAGATACGACTTGAATAATTGTATTAGTAGTGAAGATGAAGATCGTAGAGTTCTATGCAAAAAGGCGTCGGATATGTTTGGTTCATTGAATTTTCCTACAAAACCAATTGAAGGAGTAACTTATTTTTTTGTGATGAAATTTTATTTAGTTTAGGAACAGGACAATGTTTGTCAGATTCTTGAAAAAAGTCAACGTTTGTAAAGATTAAACTCTTTTGAATTCACTTTCGATGTGTAAGCTGATGGCTACAAAGCATAGTGTCTGAAGATTTATGAAGATTTTTGTTATCAACTTCTGCTAGGCAGTCGTTTCTATGATCTTTTATGACAACAGTATTCTGGATAACTAGTGTTTTTTTTTCAGGACCTAATCTTGCCGAAGACACTTTCGATGGTCAAAAATATTAGTAAAATGAATATCATCAAATCATTTAGTGATGTTACAGAAAACTTTGTCGAAATTACTAAAGAACTACAAAGCAATATTGACTCGAGGACTTATTGTAAGTAACGGTTTTTTGGTAGTATTTTCATCATTTTAGAACCTATTTGGCAGTCGATAGATTTATTGATGTATCTCTAGAAACTTGCATATTTTCTGTGCGTAGGGTTAGAAGTGTCATTTGTTAGAAAAAGTGTTTGCTGTAGTTTCCCAATCCGTGTTTTCCCTACTCCTCCCATCCTTCATCTATTTACTTCCTCTTTCATTTTTCTAAGGTTTTAGGACTCGGAGAGGACACAAATACCAAAAGTTCATCATTTTTTCAAAATTTAATAATTTTTATTTCTTTTTTTCTTTTAGCTGCGCAAAAGTGGTTTAAAGAGATTGGGCAAAGGATGTTCCATCATGCAGAGGAATTAATACAAAAGTTAAGTCATATAAGTTTCAAGAAACTGTATGAATTGCTGAATGACATGAACCAAAAAGAAAGCACTTACAGATTAGTTGTACAATACAGGTATTTTGTTGATGTTGTTTCCAATTTATGAATATTGACAGTAATTTTATGCACTATTTGATCTTGGCTTTTCTACTTTTCTTTTTTATTTTTGTTTCACATTATTTTTTATTTTCGCCTTTTTATCCCATCGTATCTCTTAATTCAAGCTGGTACACTGCGTTGGTGATATCAAGCTGTTTGGCATTGATAGCGCTCTATTTTTTGTTTGCTTGGTGTTACGGTTGTTTTGGAAGTCGACCGACATACTATGTTGACGACTGTTGTGTACGTACTACGGGGACAAAGCTGTTCAACTGGTAGTCCTTTCTGGATTTTTTTCATTTTTCTAGTAATAGGACTTTTAACAGAGCTACAGTTCCTAAGATCGATTACTAATATTATAATTGGTGAACTTCCTTTTTTCTAGCGGAACGTGGCTTTCAATGGTTGTACTTGTGTTATTCTCCTTAATTACTGCAGTTCTTTTCATTGTTGGCGGTAATTTCACAAACTTAATATGTCATCCTTTGGAAGATCCACTTAGCAGAAAGGATATGCTCAGTGTTAGCTTTCGTTCTTTCCACTCCGATTTGAAACCTTAAATAAAAAAGTACTTTAGTTCAATGACAGTTAGTTCTGACATCTTTATATTTTAGTTTCTTCGACGATTAATTTCTACAAGTCGTCAAGGAGAGGATTTGAGCTTTGGTACATTCCCGGATAACATTAGTTTGTCTGGATTAATTCAAGCTTGTGAACGTAATGAAACGCTGTATACAATACTTGATCTTGATTCTCATTTCAAGCTAATGAATATTAGTTATTTGGAACGGGAACTTTTCAATAATTTGGAAAGAGAACTGGACCAAGTACTTTCTGGTGATATCTCAATAGCGCCGGTGAAGTTATTGTCAAAGGAAAGAGTTGAAAAAATTAAAGTTTTACAAGCAATATGCGCGGCAATGTCGACCGACGACGATCCGGCTCTTGTTAGTTCAGATTTCTCGTTTGATTGTTTTCCATAACATGTGGAAATTGCTTGTATTCATGTTTTTATGAAGCTTATATGATGGTACTTTTAGGCCCACTTTCAAAAGATAAAAAACGATTTCAATATATCGAGTTACAGTCGAGGTATTTTTGAAGCATTTAAAGAAGATTCTTCAGTGCCAAAGCAGATCAAAGACCCAGTAAATCAGCTTAGAACAGTGGAGGTAAGTTTTTTTGTCGAAAATTTGGTCTTTTTAATGATGTTTTATGCTATTCAAGGTACAGTACTGTGACTGACTAACGATAAGTACTAATTCATGCAGAATCTTTTTTCACTTTTTATTTTTTGTAGGAGACATCAGGGAACAGTTTTATGCGTAGTTTTGATGAACTCTTGCTTCAATTGGATTCGCTGAACCACATTTTGCACAACATTTCTGTGCCGATCAGTGATGCCTTGTTGAGGTTACAGCATGCAGAATCTGTCTTGGAGAAGGATTATGCGAAACATTTTTCAAATGCAGCGAGGCACGTAGCTGAAAATGTGAAGATGGAGATTCAACAGTACTTAGGTCATATTGAAGGATCCGTAAGTATTACTGGCCAAATTGCATCCTCGGTTATTTTTCTTCTCTTGCTTGAGCAAGAGAAGAAACAAAAGCGGCAACGCTTTGTTGTACGGTTCTGATTTTTCCGATGTGTCATTCCTCCTGTATTCATCAGTATTTCGTAGGTGTCAACTTTCTTTTTTCAGTTGATTAATGATATAACGAACTGTGGTCCGTTAGCGGAAATCGCTCGTGGTGCAAGAGCAGCACTTTGTAATTATACGATCAATCCATTTGTAAGACCGGTTTCGTGATTTTTGAAAAGATTGTTTTTTTTTCTTGTAGTAATTTAATAAAACAAAAGTGATCAATTTATTTTCATCAATAGTAGTTTAATTGAATCCGAATTTTAATGACTGTAAGGCAAGAAAAAATGACTTTCAGAATGGAGTTTGGGCTGCGATGTTCGTCAGTATCCTGTGCATCATTCCCATAATAATCTTAGCTTCATGCGTGACTCCGTTGTACTTTAAGATATACGCATATCCCAGATAGTAAATTTCTTATTTATTCACTTTCTTAATTTTAAAACTGTTAACCTTCAGAAAATAGTGTATGAGGACGCACATTAATAACACATTATTAACGAAGTGAGACTACAGTAGTTCTAAAAACTTACATCAACTAAAACTTCTACATTAGTTATTACGACCAAAGGCAATTCAAAAAGTTTTACCAAACCAGAAAATCAGAAAGTTTTCCATATTGTCTGATTTTTGTGTGAAACATGCTTCAACCTGGTATCCAGTAATTAACAGTCTAATATCTCTATGTGCGCTCTTTCAAACTGCATTTCAAGCTTGAACGAAGTCGGTGCAGTAAGGAAACTGATACCGACAATTTAGAAATAAACACGCGCCGTCGCTTCACAAAACATTTGGAATGGATTCTGAATTTTGGGCTCTCATGGATCGACACATGTAGCGAAGAAGAGTTGTGAAGCCTCATATGATATTGTAGAAAAAAGCGCGTTTTCAAGCCTTTTTCAACTTTAGTTAAACTGTAGGAGCTCGATTTTTAACAGGAGCAGATTACTAGCAGGAAAATTGGATTCTAAATTTTGCTTATCTGTGCATAAACTAGTTTTTTTTCTTTGAAGAAAAGACACTACGGGGTTTAAACTACCGTTTGGTCCTAAAAAAACCATGCTGTGGTTACAGTCCAAGTGAGTGTGATAAGGAAGGACGTTTTTTGTTCAGATTTTTATCTTAGGCTGGTTAGTCATGAAGCCAGTTGATTACGGAAGTAAAGAGAAAATTTCGTCGATAGATCAACGGATTGTTATATGGCATGTTCAGCATAGGTCATAGAAAGAATTTTTACTGTGAGTGCTGTCACCTTGTTTTTACCTCCAGTATGCAGTCTAATCCTTCTTTTTCTTTATTTTAATCTAGAAAGCAACGGGGGTACGAATCAATCAGTAAGTTTGCGCTCCTCATCTCGGAAATGAATCGAAAACTGGATTACTAACTAGATGCTTAGGATAAGTATATTAGACGTCAGTGATAAAAAATCTTGTAGTTGTATTTTATATTCAAAATTAAGCTGAATAATGCTGTTTGATTGCAGCGTTGTCCATGAGCCTATCGATGGGAATCAAGCGAATACTTTTGCTACCGATACTTACGACTATCGTGGCAGAAATCGGTAACTTACCTGCCTACCTCACTAAGTTTTATATCCACCTGTTATAGTTGAAATGCTTCAGCTACTGAATTGTCAAAAATGGTGAAGTTGTTGCTGCTGCTGCTGCTGATGATGATGATGATGAATATGCTTCTACCACTTCTACTTCTTCCAGTACTGTTCATGCCGAAGATGATCAACTTGCAGCACTCAGAAACGTTTTTCAGATTCTCTTCGTCAAGTAGCGGTTACGAAACTTGTTTAAGTGCAGATGCGGCTTGTGGGACAAATAGCTAAGAGAGTATGTATATTTTTTTTTTCCACTTACGTGTTAATAGTTTTGCGAACTGCCTCATAGTTGTCGCTCCTTTTCTTGTATCATTTCTAACCCCTCTTCTAATTTTAAAATGAAAAATGAAGCCATTCAATCTCCTCGATGTATAACTTTGTTCTTAGA